AAAAAAACAAACCTTTCAGTAGAACTATTTATTACGTATTTGAACGACACGTTGCAAGAAGCAAAAACAAATGTTCCAAATGCACAGTAATAGCAAGCCTTCAGCTTGTAGAAAGCGGCTTTACTTTACTTTTTCACAATACCGATAGTTACTTTTCTAAATTCAACTTATACCAATAATAATTGAAAATGACTAGAAAAATTACAGCAGCGAAGTCAAAAAAAGCTATGAAACTTATTTTTACCGATATCTTTTTCCGGTTCTTCAAATCTTTTCATAAATTAAGTAGGAACCTGTTGAGGGCTGGCATAGATTAGAAAACTTTTATCAGTAGATAATTCATTAGCAGTACGCTAATCATACCGTCCCCTAAATGCCATTCTTGAGAAGGCACAGAGAGAGAAATATAAATAAAACTCATTACTGGAACTGATATTACCAATGAAAAGAACAAATCAGTGGCAAAATTTTAAGCATATTTAACTATCATTGTCGACTATAGATCTTACAGTTAATTTAAGAAAGGTTTTCAAATAATGCATATTTTTTTGCAGAAGGAAGGCATAAAATACTAACAGATAGCTGTCTTGGATATGCCATTTGTCACAGGTGGTCTTCGGGTTGCTGTTGAATGTGGGTCTTCTGTCACAGGTGGTCTTGAGGTTGTTGACGAATGTGAGTCTTCCGTGTCAGGGTCGAAAAATGTTGATTTTGAAGTGATGTCGTCACAAAGCTGTAAAAAACATAACCAACTTTGTTTACAATTTCAATACACATATAAATTCTTAAAAGAGAATTTTAGAAAAAGGAGATATTTTTGCAGAGTTTGAAAAGCAAGTTTCTAAACTTCTTGTTATCCTAATTTGTTGTGCTTTGAATATTACTATCATAATTTATTTGCTTTTGCAACTTAAATGAAGTATTTCTATGAAAAATAATAATCACACTTTCTCTTCATTATTGCTGGGGTAGTAAGGCTTGGAGAACTCTCGAAAAACTTTAAATGGGCAACAACTATAACCATCACATCCTGCAAATGTATACCTATAATTAGTATCCTGACTGCTCTGAATAATAAAGGTAATATTGATAACAGTAATCATTATACATCCTCAACGAAAAATAAGGTTTCAAACACCGCTGGTGTATGTGACAGAATAGAAGCGGCATAAAAGTTAGGGTTTACCGTTAGCCCACACAGTAATGTCTTCAAATTCTGTAGAGAAATTTCGATGAAACAGTATCTAAATGCAAAAAAATCATGACTCAATAAAAAAATTACATTCAAAGACTGTAAAAATATTAAAACAATTACTGTCTAAAAGAAAAATAAATTTTAAGACTTTAACACAGTAGCCGTGAATTGATGAGTTCCACAGTTCCATTACAACGGCGGAAGAATAGGCTGGGTAGCCGTTTTTGGTTACCACTTCTTCTTTTGCTCCAACCACGGCCAACAGTGCGGCGACAGTAGTATCATGCTAAACAAACAAAATTTATTTCACATATTCAGCTAAAATCCTAACCCAAGACAAAGAGCAAAATAAATAATATAAAAGTCAAATTTTCAAAGACCAGTTAACAAAAATGCTGCTGCTGCTGCTGCAGTTGTTATTGACAAAAAGTTTAGTAGAATTTCTTGAATTAAGAGCAAATAAAC